AGGGGGACAGCTTGAGGCTCTGTCTCAAAAAAAAAAAAAAAAAAATGTTTTCACGTAGGTACATGTTCTTCCGTAGTGAATTCTACTGATCGCCCATTTTCTACTTCAAAAACATCTGGTCTTCTTTTCATGTGATTCCCTGTGTTTTCTCCTACAGTAGAAATTTGTTGTTTGTTGGGTATGTGTTTGTTTTTGGTCACCAACCATCTGAACGGTCTTTGTATTTGGAAGGAATCCCCACTGGCTGAATCAAATCAAAAAGAGAGCCCTACTTCCCACTATGGAAGCAGGAGGAGGCTGGGCAGGACCCAGGCTCTGCAAACTGGAAGCTTCCACCCAGGACTTGAATCTTGCAGAGAGAAAGGAAAGATGCAGGACATTTAGAGATCATTTACAGAAGAGTTTAAAATCTAGCTATTGTAGGCCTGGTGCCAGCAGGGACAGCAACCCAACCAGACCCTTCCTGTGGCTTATCTAAGATTGTGTGCTCAGCTGCTTAATCTCAGTTGGTTCCTACTGGGTTTTAGAGTCTGATTATACAGACTTCCCATAGATTCTGTGAACTACCTGATAACTTTCCAATAAATTCCTTTCCTGTTTTGGTTACCAGAACTGATTCCCACTATTCACAATCAAGAACCTCTGTGTATAATGAAAGCAATTTTTTTTTTCTCATCAAGGAACAACCTTGAATGAGACAATGTTATTCAAGGACCTTCTATAGGTCATTTTACCATTTCAAAAGCACCTATCAATGACATTAAGTGAGGACGTACTGTACTCATCAAGGAGGGTAGGACGTGGCATTCTATCCTCACGATCACCCTGTGTCTAAGGTGGCTTAAAGGTACCAATCCATGACCTAAAGGAAGTGAAGGGTAAAAGAGGTGTATACCACCTCTGGTTGGGTTGCTGTCTCTGTTGGCATCATGCCTACTGTACAGGTAGATGAAGGGTTCTATACTCATTGCAGTTTTAGGCATCCTCTGGGAGTCTTGGAACATATCCCCCACAGGTAAGAGGGGACTGACTACTGGATACCATTCTTTGTAATAGATAAGATGTTATAGTTGGCTGTATCTTCTTTAGTGATTTTTAAAAATTGGACTATTAAATATACATATCTAGAGTAATAAAAACAAAATTAAACATATTTTTTCTAATATTAAAGTCCAAAACAAAACTTCTGATTCATCTTAAGCAAGAATCAGCAATCCTTTCTATCTACTACCTATCAAAATTTCTCAGTCTCTATTAACTCCGATACAAATCCTGTTTATTACACAGTATTCCTTGACTACATAGCCCCTCTTTTTCAACACAAGTTTTCAGCTCTTATTTTCAATCTTATAAAAATATACTTGTCAGTTACTTACATATACGCAAATTCGTATACATGGTATTTAATGAAGTATGGTCCTCAAAGGTGCTTCAAATTATCTGCAACTTTATTGTTCTCTAACCATCCTGCTGATTTATTTCTTACAGATCATCTGAGTATTTTTCTCAGAAAAAGTTCACTGAAATTTATGTTTTGTTGTAAATGTTTATCTCAGAATGTCTGTCTGTTGCCTCTGCATATCAATGTCCACTTGGCTGAGTATAGAAATCTTTGATCCCAACTCTCTGCAGACTTTGTTCCACTGGCTTCTGGCATTTAGTGCTCAGGAAATCCTGGTGAGCCTGAATTTTGTGTATCTAAAGTAGTTTTAACGATATAAGCAGAAGACCAAGTAACAGTGGTCTGAGTAAAACAAAAGTTTTCTTTACTCATAAGTAAAAGAAATGCTTCCATTAAGGGCTGGAAAAGAGGTTCCACATCATCAAGGAGCATAGGATGTGGCATTCTATCTATCCTCAAGATCACCTCGTGTCTAAGGTGGCTTAATGGTACCAATCCATGACCCAGAGTGTACACAAAGGAAGTGAAGGTTAAAAGAGGTGTATACCAGTTTAGCTGGTACCTCTGAAAAATGATCCTATGATCCCCACCATTCAACAGTTTGCAAGCAGAAGTCCTACTAATCACCTCTAATCATATAGGAAGATGGGAAATATAGCCTTTCAGCTGGGCCTGTGGCCACCAGGAACGGGTAAGGGTTGCATTAAAAATGAAAGGGAGAATGAATATTGAGAAGGCAAATAATTATCTCTATCACAGCAAATAACATAATTATTTTTCTTAACAGAATTTGTTTTTGAAGATCATAAAAATGTCTAGATCATATCTAAAAGTAAATTTTTTGTTAAATTTTAATTATACCTTAATAAATGAATTTCATTTGTAGACCAAAAGTATTTTTTTGTCTGTGTATGTAGGTTTGCTTATTTGTGCTCTGTGGTATCTGCTTCCCTCTGTGTTACTGTGTTTCCCCCAAAATAAGACCTACCCAAAAAATAAGCCCTAGCAGGATTCTATGCATAAACCCTACCACAATAATAAGACCTAGTGATACATTTCAGGGTGGAGCGGTAAGGAAGACTGCCACAGCTCCTTTCTCCAATAGTTCACACTCATGCGGGTGCACATGTAGTAACCGTGGTCACAGGCATCCTATTGCACACGTGAGACTGGCTAGGGGAAAGGAGTTCACGCATCACTAGCGCCAACCACACCAACAAGGTCGGCTCCCCCTGTCAGGTTTCAGAAGAAGATGACTTAACTATATTTGAATAAATGTAGATTGTTGTATTATACTTAATACAAATAAGACATCCCCTGAAAATAAGCCCTAGTGTTTCTTCTTGAGAAAAAATAAATATAAGACAGTATCTTATTTGGTGGGAAACACAGTAGCTCACTTGGGCTGCCAGGACCAACTAACACAGACTGGCTTACAGAAATTTAATTTCTCACAGTTCCAAAGGCTGGAAGTCTGAGCTGGAGGTGTGGGCGAAGCTGGTTTGTACTGAGGCCTCAGTAGCTGTCTTCTCCCTGTGTCCTCACGTTGTCGTCTCTCCAAGGATTTGTCAAGGTTCCTCTTTTTATAAAAAAGACACCAGTCCTATTGGATTAGGGCCCACCCCGATGCCTCATTGTAACTTAATTACCTCCTGAAAGACCCTGTGTCCAACTACAGTCATGTTCTGAGGTACCGGGAATGAGGATTTCAACACAGGAATTTTAGAATGGACACAATTCAGCCCACAGCACTACCATTTTAGTGTCATCCTCTGGAATCCCTGAAATCATTGGGTAGTCCACTGTGCCCCATCTTTTCTTTCTACTATTTTTCTTTCATCTTTGTCTTTTTCCTCGTCATGAGGAGAAAAGTTTCCCCTGCATATCACTCATTCAGTTCTTCTCTCTAATGCTTTAAATAAACACCTAAATTTCCCTACTTCATTCTGGTTTTCCTCATATCTTATTCATGTTTTTGTTAGTTCTGTTAACATCTCTCCGGATTCCAGTCTTCTAATTCCCCATTATTGTTTCACAGGAGCTAAATGCGTACAGCATCCAACCACAAAATCTCCATAACGTCCGACAGTAAGTGTTGTGCTAACTGGCTGATCCAGGCTGGCCAGGTTTGCCGAAGTTGGGTCAGTTGCACACATCTCTCACGCTGTGCCTGGGACCAACACCAGCAAGGCAACAGCAGGGGCAGGACAGGGCACACCCCCCAGCACAAGTACATTTGAGGCCTCTGCTTGTGTCACATGTCCTAGTCAAAGCAAGAACAAAAGCTAACACCCAAAGGGTAGAGAATAGGCTTCTCCCACTAAAGTGGTACGAGTGATTGTTTTGAACAATCATCTACTATACTACATTTCTTGTAGCTTTTGAGAAACCTCAACCTTAAGTCTCCTAAATTTTTCTTGTTTGTTTTATAAATTTTTTTTTAAATAAACATTCTTCCTCTGAGACCTCACAGTAATGCACATTTCCCCTTCTACTGTGGACTATGTTCACAGGACTCGTGGTGACTGGTCATTTTTCCTTGCATGGGAGGGAGGAAGCCTACTCAGACCTGGTATTTACCACCTGGTATCGTGGAAGAAATTTCCTGAACACTCCACGCACCACTTTACTCTCCGCTGAGGCGCTGACAGTTTCCCTATTCAGAGTCAATCTTGAAGTTCAGCCTCCGGTAAGTCCCCAGCTCAATTTGTGTGCCTGGCAGAAGTTCTAGTGCCCATCTACTGAAAAGAGATAGAAACTTCTCTTTCTCTGTCAGGGTCTCTGACTAAACGAAAGCATCACACGCAAAGTTGGCATTTTTTGTTCAAACAGGATGAGACTTGAAAGACTTCCTTCCCAGCATGCACTGCTCCCAGTGCTCTTCTTGTCTATAGCCGGATGAAAAAGCTCGAACGTGTGTGTTTTAACAGATAGTGCTGAGACACCCTCTGAAAAGATCTTCTAGCTATTTTAAAGGCATGTTGTGAGGACACATACCACGCGCAGCTATCTGATATGTGTTAATGTTAACTCCAATGTTCTACTATCTTAAGATCCAGCCTTACTCCATACCAGGTCTACACTAACCTAATGAATTTCTTGAGCCCACCCAGGCCCTTAAATACAGAGCTCTGCTACAACCTACCAAGGTTTAAGAGAAAAGTGTTCCCTCTAAACCTTTCCTGAACTATTCCAGAAAAAGGATTGCCTAAATCTGAACATAACCCTAGCTATTGAAGAATCTTATAACTTCAGTTGTTACATATATATTTCTCAATTAGGCTGACTTCACTGTCCAACTTCCACCTCCTCCTGAGATGTACCAGAATGTCTCTGAGTCAGAATATAAGAGGCACACAGTAAATGTTTCTTATATATCCTTGAATACATTCTATATACTATGAATGAGTGAACAAACTTTGAATGTCAGCCTCTCAGAACATGGAGCATTTGTTATTATAAAACCATCCTCAAATTTCAGAGACAGTACATTCAAGGCAAAGTAAAATAAACTACAACAACGTTCTGGAAAACAAAGACTATCCCTCATAATATTGCATCGCCACAAGACATCATAGCAAAGTTGTCTTTAACCAACCTCATTTTCCCTTTTTCCTTGTTACGCTGCACAACTCGGCTGGTGGATTTGATGTACAGGTGCCGGTGCAATTCATCTATGAGAACCAAGTGAAGGTTCATCTTCTTGCTGTGAAGCTCCAGCCTAAGGTCACTCAGTCCTTCCACCTGGAGCAGGGGTCCCTCCAAAGACTCAACTGCTGACACCTGAAAAGAGGAAAAAAAGAAAACCAATTAGGTACAACTAAATAACCTAGCAATAAAAAGACTCCTTTTTAAAAAGTACCATTAAAAGAGAGTTTATAGACCCTTATCGGACTTATAAGACTTTATAGAGTATAATGTGGATAGGCCTACTCTGTCCTTCCAGGGTTTATCACCTAAGATAGAAAATGGTAAAACAATCTTGACAAAGGAGGCATATAAAACACCACAGCAAAGCTGTACATACTGTGTATTCCCATGCATGCTGTTTGTCATTGGACACATGCAGACAGGTCCCTAACTAAACATATTCTCATAAGCATCCCTTGTATTAATAATCTAAATCAACTTTTAGTTAGAGTTAGCCTTTTAAAACTAAGACTAAATAAAACACAATATATGACTGTTTAAATAACAATGTATTCTCGCTACAATCATGAATCAGAGCCTTGGTTAGCCTAAGTCACACGGGTGTCTACCTGAGTTAGGCTCCGTCTCACTTTTTCCTCATATCCCCATGCACAGAGGCAAATGCATTTTTTTTTTTTTTTTTTTTGAGACAGAGCCTCAAGCTGTCCCCCTGGGTAGAGTGCCGTGGCATTACAGCTCACAGCAACCTCCGACTCCTGGGCTCAAGCGAGTCTCCTGCCTCTGCCTCCCAAGTAGCTGGGACCACAGGCGCCCGCCACAACGCCCGGCTATTTTTTGGTTGCAGCCATCATTGTTGTTTGGCGGGTCCGGGCTGGGGATTCGAACCCGCCACCTTAGGTGTACGTGGCTGGCGCCTTAGCCAGTTGAGCTATAGGCGCCGAGCCGGCAAATGCATTTTTTACATGAATGCTACAAAGGGACAATAGAAGCTATCCCCTCTCTTTGGCCTGATTCAGTTTGATAAAAGAAATAGGATTTGAATGGTGAGCAGAAGATAAAATACAAAGAGGAAGATACTTCTGGGGCAAAGTGCTTTGGGAGATTTTAAAAACAAAATGAAGAGGATGAATCTAACTGGTGTAGGAATGCCCACGATAAAGGGGGGAGATGAAAGATTCAGGATCCTGGAGCAAGTCACTTTGAGACTCCAAGTGGCAACTGCAAAGGAAAATGAAAAGCATGTGTGACGTCAACCCATGTACTCATGTATACAAAGTGATATTTATGTCTCTGTATATATAAAGATCTTGTCTATTTTTTAAAGAAAAAAAAGCTGAAGTGAAGAGAATACTCTAGGTACTATCCCTCGGGAGAAAAAAGAAAGAAGAGGGAATCATGAAGAACGTAAAAAAAGGTTGGGGGGACTACAAGCTGAACTTAAGGGAAAAGAGCACAAGCGAGCTCCCTGGAGGATCACTGTGCTTTGACTATGTCCGGCTTAGTCTGGACTTCTAACTACGCTTTATAGATACAGATAAAGGCAATAACTAATAATACTTCAAGGTAAAACCCTTAAATGTAGGTATGGATAAAAACATGCTCCTAAAAAAAAAGAAAAGCATTTACACAAAAGCAATAGATAATGGAAGCCACGAGAACACACTGGTGATCAAAAACGCTGATCACAGGTCTACAGCAGTCTAAGAGGTCACCTAGGAGTTTGTGGACGGTGATTATAGAAAGCTTTGCAGCTGCCAAACACGAACCAGCCTGAAATGGTAAGGAAAATGCAATGGCTTACCCACAAACACATCACTTGTTTTGTGATGTGCTATAATCAAATGTCAGTAGCAAATAAGTTTCCTTAAGTTAACCGAGAAAGAATCAAGGAATGGAAGAGTGACAAGCCCTGGGCCAGCTCTGCCCTCTGAAGCCTGCCAGTTCATTTTCAAGCTGACTTCAACTGCCCCCGCCACTGAGCCCCTGGGCCCAGTGCAAGCTGCCAGCAATTCCAAATGGAAAGGCAGCCTCAAAAATGACCAAAGCGTCCCCAAGGAGGAAAAACAACAACAAATTCATTTACACTTATGCCCTAAAATGGATTTTAACTCGGATCTCTAGCAGAGAAAAGAGGATGCATTAACCTTCAGTGACACCAAGATCCAGAAAATGAAAAATAATTTGGTAAACCACTGGCCCATCGTGTAGCCTTATCCCTTGAGGTAATTAAATCCAGCTGAGATATTTAAGCTTAAAAACCACCCACTGCATATCCACACTTGATTTGTTTGTAGGAATCTGCATGAAGATTTTTAACCCAAACAGCTCATGCTCCAAATATAAAATTATAGAACATTGTCAATTTTCAAAGCCACCTAATTAAATTAAAAATAAAAACTCAGACAAAACACTTACTACAGTGCCTGGCACATCCTGAGTGCTCACTGGAATTGTTTTTAATTCAGTACCTATGAATAGAGACATCTCAGAGGGTATTCCCAGCATATTTTCATGCAGCATTTCAGTAAGTGTCCTTTCCTTGAACCATTGTAAACTATTTAATTGACAAATTTTCTAAAAGTTTCCTTGATCCAAAATACACGAACAATTAACAATATATATGATGTAGGCTGTTCTAAGAACTTCAAAGATTTGAAAACCTTACCACCAAAGAGAATAATCTCTTGTTTCTGTAAGAAAACACTTGTTTCATTTGCTGGCCCTCACTTACTAACAGTTTACTTAGAAAGCTATAACTACGGAAGTCAGGCAAAGCCGCTGTCTTCCCCTACTCTGACCGAACTAAGTCATACTGAGATCAATTTGAAGAAAACAGTTGATCAAATGCAACATCTGAGCTCTACCCTATCAGTTTAGAAATGTGACCTTCATCTCATCTGGTTTTAAGCAGCCTGTACCGTAAGTTTACACATAAACTTGATGACGCCTCAGTCAACAACGCACCACCACGGTCTGTTCTGTTGCACTTACTGTTTCCAGATATTTACTAACACTTGCAATTTACTAGAAATCGTTAAATAACCATTTACATTTAGAAGTGTGCATAACTAATGAGAAAGACTTTAACAAATGGGAAGGGATCATTTTGTAAGTTATTTCATGGTTTTCTAAATTTTATGGTGACAGAATGTTTTGAATAACACACTGAGGAAATAGCAACAGGAATTTAAGAGATGCCTCTGGATTAAAGTAGACAGCAACACAACAGTCTCACAGGTTAGTTATAAGAAATTATCAAAATAAGATTCATAACTGTGACATTCAACATTGAATAATGTCACTAATACACGTACCACTTACAAGACAAGACACACCAGACGAAAGATGTAACAGACAACACAGAGCAGGGAATTGGGGAATGTTAGGCACGTGTCTACTCACAAATCTCACACGTCCTCGCATTTATGACCCCAGACATCTTTAACATGACCTCCTAGAATTCTAGGGTAAGCCATGTAATAACCAAGCCCCCAGCCCCTGACCCCCTCCCTAAGACCCTAGAAAAAGAAACCTCTCCTAAGCCTTTTAGTTCCTGCCCTCTCAAGGGTAGAGAAATAGCCTGAAATGAAGGAAGTATGCAGAGAGGGGTTGAGGAAGGGAGGGGTTGATTCCAAATAAAGCCCTGGGTGAAGAGGTCCCAAGTTGTTCTCAGAAATTTACCCAACACTTTTTTTGTACCCCTGAATTATGAGCTAATGTACCCTAAGTAAATATGTACCTCCACCCTAAATTGTGTAAACCCCTATGACATATCCCATCGTATGATCATGAAGTAATGTACTTGTGATATATCTTGTGATGTGTGAATCAATATGTACCCCTACCCTGTGACCCCGTTTTAACTGCTATGATTGGCTTCTGTATTGCGCTAGCTTGCTAGTCACCATGACTATGCAGAATAATGGTATAAAAAGGCTTCTCCCCTGTTATTCGAGGCTTCTTGTTGGCCCACCACAAGAGCCCCCTACAGGTGCACCTGTAGGTGTATCAAACTATCAATAAATTTCTATTACTTAATTCATCCTGCAGTGAGGTCCATCCTTCTCTCGCATCTACTGTCCCATTTCAGCCACACCATCTCTTAAAAGTTAGACTACTATGTAGCACTTAGAGTCTACTAAACGTATTTGGAATTTGCCTTCCACATATTTAAAAAAAAAATAAATTTTGGAAAAAAAATCACTAGCAAGGAATTTTTTTAACAGAATATTAATATTCTAGTCAACACAGTTGGAAACTCTCACATAGATAACAGGAATCTGTTTTAGAGTTGAAAACAAATATTTCCCTTAGGATCATGGGGATAAACATTTTCAAACTGTCTTGAACAAAACACCATGTTTTGCTATGAGAAACCTATCCACGAAGGAAACAAAAATTCTGAAAATGTTTCTAAAATTCAAAAAAGAAGTCAAACAGAGTTAAAATACATACAATCAATACTTTTAAAAATTCTGCCTTCAGTTGAGGCGTAAGTCTACACTATAGGAAAATCTTGGTAATTCGGAACCATTATACCCTTCAATTTTCGTTCCCAAATGCCAATTTCCCAGTTTCATTTTAATGTAAAACATAAGAAATTTTTATCTCACAGCTAAGTGCTCATCTTCAGCCAGTCTCATTCAAGCTTATGAGAAAACGAAAGATCTAGTTTTGTGCTCTGACATGGACCAATGGACACATTTCAAAGGGAACACTGAAGTTAGCCCTTCTCAGGAACTGCTTCATAGAAGTGCTAGAAAAGAACCATAATCTTTTAAATGTTTTGATGGAGATGAGTAAGACACACAGAAGTAATTGACAGGAGTAACAATTTCTAAACAGATCCAAGGTTCAAGCCAAAAAAAAGAAGAAAAACTTCTAAGTAAATAAAAAACCAACCTGATAACTAAGCCATCTACGAGTTAGTGAAAATGGTCTTATTGGCAACAGGTTCCCTAAAGAAAGCACATGTATTGCTAGTGTTGAGTCAAAAAAAAAATTCCTATAGGATGATGATAATTATGTGGTTCCAAATGGTTTTACCATTTTTCAATAGATCAATTAATTGCCCTTAAGGAAGCATTTTTCCTAGTAAGACAACACAATCATTCTAAAAATGTTGCTGTGGA